AAATTTAGTCGCGAGGAGGCAGTTTTTGAAACCTTGACCTTTTGGACCACAAATAGGGATTTAATCCGGTTTTCACTAGTTTTGCATTCTTTGAGCAACTCCCGCTTAGTTTGCCGGGCAAATTTTTCTTCTAGGGTTGGGTTCGCTGGCGGCAATTTACCGTTAACCAGAGCATTGTTAATTATCATATATTTCATTATAAAGAGTTTATTTTAGCAAATTTAAAGCAGAAAAAATTAGCTAAAATCTCTAGCAAATTCCCTTTCAGATTCGTATCCAGAAAACGGGGTGGTAAATTTTGGAAGAATTTGGTGAAAAAGTTGGATTTTTTTTGGTCAGAAATTAAGAAAAAACTTAGGAGAAGTTGATTTACACTCTTTAAAAACAGTAAAATAACCCTTCTCCAAGAAATAGTTGCTTCTTGCAACTTTAGCGTAATAAAATTCCTTTCTTGGGCTTGGTGAGGATGAGTAGCACCTGGATAAATAAACAATCTAGCCAGTTTGGTATGTGGTATCATTTCTTTTATTATTCATTAATTCATTAATAGAATGTGCGTACCCACGTAGGAGAAGTTATTCCTCTTCATTTCCCAAAGCCGCTAAACGTTTATGGTAAATAGCATCCAAAGCCTCTTTATTTTTTTTATAAACCGGTTGTTGGTGAAGCAAATGGTAAACTACTCGAGGCTGGGGCTAACTCTACACGGCTGGAAAGTTCGGCATCAAGGGAGGCAAAAATCTTGCTTTGTCCTCTTTCATTTATAAATTTTTATTCACGGTAGGGAAATTTTGATTTCTGATGGCATAATTATTTAGGAGGAATTTGGATTTGATTAATTATTTCAAGCATATTAAGTAAGGATACTCTTTCCTCCGGATTATCTTTTCAACATTTTTCAATAGCACGACAAACATCTTGGGGGACATCACTAGGTATTGTTTCTTTGTTGTTGCTAGCAATATGTAAGATTACACCACAGTTATCAACATTCTTAAAAGGCTTAGTGCATTTAGCAGCAATTTCTCAAATAACCATTCCCAAGGAGTAGATATCTGAATATTTAGAATGTCTTTCGCCCCTAAGCACCTCCGGGGCCGTTCATCTAGAAGTTCCAATTGCACCGGAATTTGACTGAGAAGAACTAACATTTTTAATAAGCTTGGCTAAGCCAAAGTCGGCTATTTTTATTGTCTTATAATCACTATCTAATAAGATATTCATGCTTTTCAAGTCTCGGTGAATAATATTTTCGTGGTGAATATAAGTTAGTCCTTTTACCATTTGCATAACGAGATTAAGGTTGTAAGTTCAATTGTGTTTTTTGTCTTTGTTTCTGTTAATAAATTGAGATAAAGTACCATTTTCGGCGTAATCCATAATAATGTGAAATTCCTGGTCATTCGAATAAATTCCGTAATACTGAATAATATATTTACTTTTTAGTTTTCTGAGGATATTAACTTCATTAGTAATTTGTTTTTTGTCTTCGCTATTGGATAATAAATTTAATTTCTTGACAGCAACGGTTTGCGATTTTCACTTACCTTGGTAAACTTCCCCGTATCCGCCTCTTCCTATTTCTTCTTCGAGAATAGGTTTTTCAGTAATATTATCAAAAATAACTGGTTGCAGGTGGTTAGTAACTTCTAACTGTTTTGAATATGATGTTTCTCTTTCCTCTAAAGATTCCCTTTGCCTATTGTTTACGTGAGAACTAGAATTATTTCTTCTTCAAAAACTGACATTATATCACTTTCCGCTTAATGCGTCATCGTTAAATGGGTAATTTTCTAATTGTTTTTTAATTACGGAACACTCTCTTTTTAAGAAAAGATGGCAAGAACAACCAACTTTTTCTGTTTTTTTTGGCAAATATTCTAAACCAGAGTTAATATTAGTATTAGAAATATCTATTTCTCTTAATTTATTTAACCCTTTAATTTTTTCCAAAGATCCTTTAAGACAGTTCTTTCGCATAACATTAACAATTCCTCTATTAATTCGATTACCAACAAATAAAGATTCTAAATTTCTAAATTCACCCAAAAAAAGCAACTCGTCTCTTAAATCATTGTTACTAACATCTAAGTGAGTAATTTGCTCTTTCAATTCATTAAGGAAATACAAACTAGTAAGTAAATTATTTCTAGCATCAAAGTGGACTAAATTTGGGCAATCATAAATTTCCATTTCCTTGATTTGACAATTTCAAAGTTTGAGTATAGAAAGTTGGGGTAAGTTACGAAGAGTTATTTTTTCAAACTTATTTTTTCCACTTAGAGAAATTAAATTTTTTAGTTCAGGAAAATCAGAAATGACCAAACTTTTTTCCTCTATTTTTCTATAACTTATATCTATTTCTTTGGAAAATCTATTTTCCGTTAATCACTCTTGAAAATTTTGTGGCATGATTTTTACTTTCTATTTGGGCGGGTAAATTTGTTGTGCTTTTAATTGAGTTTCGTTTTTTTTGCTTTCATTAAGTAATAACTCAAATCCGACCAATTTTTCGCAATTTTCAATTATTTGTTCAATTTTCTCAAAAGACATTTTTTTCTTCAACTCTTCATAAATTTTTGCAGCATTTTCTCTGGCTTCATCATTTTCCTGGTTTCTTGCAAATTCCTTGTTGGTTTCAATGAACTCTTTTATTGTTTCTTTAAGACCCGT